GTGGGCGCCGCTCCCTCACAGCAGCTCTGCTCAAGGCACTTGGGCAGCACCGGGTCCCAGCCCCCAGGGTGGTTCACAGGCGATGGGCACAGCCCTTGCTTTGCCCTCCCCTGCTCTGGTCGTCCCGGGCAGCCGTTGCACCGGGCAGCAGCTGAGCCAGCCAGGCAGACACTGCTGTACAGAGCGGGGCAGCCAACGGAACTGAGCAGCATCTTCCACGGCTGCCCCCTCCCCAGAGCCCCCTGCAGCACAGTGGGGACACGGCCGTGACCTCCACCCCTGCACGCACTGGTCCCCTACCAATACGGAGCCTGGCTCTCCGAGCAGCGCCAGGTCTGCAGGTGGGAAAGGACCAGGGCGGCAGCCCGGGAGGTGCCAAGGTGCTCCCAGGCCCTGTTGGCACTCTTCACGGCATGGGAGGGAGGGCGGATCGTGCTCATGTGGCAGATCCTGTAGTTCCTCCCATGGTTGTTGTCCCAGTGGGTCTTCTGCCCGCACTGGAAGGAGATGCAGAACTCTGTAGCCCTGCGGGAGATGGACGGCTTGGGCAGGGCCAGCTCAAAGGAGAAGGTGTCTGTGTCACCTGAGGCGTATGTGCTGTGCATGTACTGGCAGGAGATGTCACGGAAGCTCTTCCAGCCATCGAAGGTGACACGGACCATCACCTTCTTCTCATACTCAATGTTTCTGACCTTCACTGTCCCGGACAGGGCACGGTCCTGGATCAGGCAGTTCTCCAGGCAGACAAGGTTGCTGTGTAGGCGGCTGCGGAAAGTCACGTAGTCCACAGAGGGCTGCGGGAAGTCCAGCACATACCTGCACGCTTCTGGGCGTGAGTCCCGCAGCCGGGGTCGGAAGCGGGCCAGATCAGACAGGGCGTGCTGCAGGTCAGAGAGGTCCTCCTCAATCTTTGAGAAGAAGCGGACAGCTGTCAGCGAGAGCCCCTTCATGTCGGCAAACACAACCTGCTTCTTCTTCTGGCCCTTGGAGCCCTTGGCGCTATCTCGCTGCTCAGGTTCAGGTTCGGTGCTTGGCTTCTGGTTTAGGCAGGAGCGGAGGGGTTTGCGCCCTCGGTTGCCTCGCAGCTCCTCATAGGAGTTCAGCAGCTTTCGGATGGGGGGCGAGTGGCCCAGGCAGAGCCGCACAGCCAGGTCCACG